AGAATATATGCAGTGTATTATTTGTTGAAACTGTACTTTCGATTTGATTTGAAACTGTCTCATTGCTATCTGTTTATCAATAAAATTTTGAAAAAAATAAAAAATAAATAAAAAGAAAAGTGCAGCTGCCTCAGGTTTAACACAATTGTGCCAGGATCCAGGATGGGGCAAGTGAGGAAGACAGCAGCACTAAAGGGTCCAGAAATCCTGGTCTGGCATCTTCTCCACCTCTCCTTTCCGATGGCTCCTGCCATTGTTCATAGGTGTAGTCATTGCTTCTGTGTACTAGAGAAAGCAGGTGGCAACAGACCAAGTGGATTGGGAAGAGCCCTCCATGAGGCACAGGAAATGTGACTTTTATCATGGGGCCTAAAACTGAGCAACAGGGAATATGAATTCTTGTCTCCAGTCAAGTGACTTAGCAGAAGGAGCGAGGAGAAAGTTCGGCCTTTTCACAGCCCATGCTTCTCACCTCCATGACAGATAACTGATTTGCTTCTGTGTCACAGGGAGCAGTAAGGGACAGAAATCCCATCCTGGGCATAGAGGATGCTGTCACGCTTATCAAGAGCAGCCTAGGTGTCCGCATGCAGCTCCAACCACCCCCACAGCTCCCTCCTCTTCCTCCTCGAATTCTAGATTTGGAAGAGATACTTATGTCACCTGACCTGGTCCAGAAAAGGTCCCTGTCCCCAGGCTGAGCCTCATCACTACCGCACCTGGCGGCAACACAGTATTTTTCATCCCCAGAAGAGCAGGACTTCATAGGCCGGGGAGATAGCTCAGTAGAATAAGCGCTTGCCTGGCAAGCAAAGGGTCCTGAGTTCAATCCCCAGTACAGAAGAAAAAAAAAAAAAAAAAAAAAAGAGCAGGACCTTAGAAAGAAACTTTCACCTGCAAACCTCTCTTTCCCTTTGGTCTGCCATGTCTCTTGTCTTCTATGTCACCACAGTCACATAACACCCTTGAAGAATCTCTTGATATCTCACGTTCCCATGGTCCTTTTTACTTATTTATGCACAAATTCTCCTTTCATAGCTTTCTGTTTAACACACATTCTCCAACTTTCCTAAAATGGTTCTTTCCCACTGGGAAGAGAGAGGATGAAGGGATTTACAAACAAGAAAAGGACAGACTGTGACAGGTGCCAAAGAAAAAGTGAAGAGGCGAGGCCGGCACAGGGGGACTTGGAGCCTCTGTAGTGGCGCCACTTGTTTTCAGCAGAAAGATGGGAATGCCGGGGGAGTGTCATTCTGGGAAAAAGAAGGGCAGCTGGACAGCCTGAGGTGGGAAGTGGGAGGCGGGGCCAGTGTATCTGAAGACTCATGGGCAGAGGACATGGTGAGGCGCAGAGGCAGGAGGTGGGCTGAGGCAGGATGGGCTCCACACCCATGGTACAAAAGCCTATGGCAGGATCTTGAGAGGGGACCCGAGCAGATCCTATAACCAGAATGTGAGGTCTGAGAGGCCAGGACTTGGCTTGCTGCTCTTCCCAGTACTCTCCTGGATGAATCTAGCTAAGGGCCCTTCTGATGGTAGATGCAGAAAATGTGGCAGTGATGCAGAAGGAAAGCCAGGCTCCAAAGAATCACTGATGATCTGCTCCTGGGCCTAGCTAAATATACTTGCACCAAACAGAATTATTTCCTAAGGAAGGAGCAGTGGCGACAGCAGGGGGGAACACTGACTTTTATAAGCTCAGTAACTCACATGGACCAGACATCGATTTTGGGTCCGTACTTCTTCCTGGCGAGCAGTTCAGGCGCGGCGTAAGCAGGGCTGCCACACTGTGTGCTGAACGGATCAGAGTAACCCAAGATCCCCGCACAGTTGCTCAGGCCAAAGTCTGTGAAGAGAAGAGGACAATTGGACTCCAAATTACAAAACTGCAGAAATAAAGAAGGACAGGAAAGGGGGTGGGGTGCCGCAGGAAAGGAATCAGACTCTCAGGCTAACACATAATTTAGCATCCAAAAGGAAATCAAGCAGCTGCAAACTATAACCTCTGGATAGGCGTCTCAAGACAAAAGAAGGTCAGGTGGTGGCTCCCTTGCCTAACTGGAACATTTTACATCAGTCCTCACTGTAAAATCCAGCTAGAGCTAACAACGCGTTGAACCAAAACGGATTTCCACCAAATATTGTGAATGAGTTGTCCAGGAGAAGGAATGAGGGCTGTGCTTTCGAGGACTAAGGCGGGAAGACAGAACAAGCAGACAGGCTTGCAGTCAGCTGCCTGGCTTCCCAGAGGGGAGAAGCTCAAGGAAGACGGATCTTTCTCTGGCTGGTTGCTGGTGTCACCGCCCGTGACACACAATCCAGCCATCTCGGCTGAGTTTTTGCATTTTGTAAAAATATTTTTTAAAAATTCTTCCCAACTGTATGCAGCACATATGGAAACTTGAAGAGGGGGGAAAAATATACTCAGCCATTTAGGCAACCCTGCAAGTTGGCTGGAAAAATAATGCCGGGAGGCTGGCGATGCCAACCAGACTCAGTGACCTCATGGCGTTGCTTTGTTCCTGGAAGATGAAGGCTCTGGGAAGAAAAGCCCGAAGATCTACAGCTAAGCTGGATCTGTTATGCCTTCCCTGCTGTGTTTACTTTTGATCTTAAAGATACTGCAGCTGCCTGGCAATTAGAGAGCTGTTAGTGTCATGCCCTCCTGGTATCTTCCCTCAATCTTTGTTAATCTCAGAATTAAGATCACAGTTCATCCTTTGAACTTCAGTGTAAATATTATGATTCTACCCCCCAGACAGAAGACTCTCAGGCTACAGGGCTTGGGTAGAGATTGGCTCCAAGTCTGGAACAAAACCCTGGTACTTTCTCAAGAGGCACCATTCATGCCTGGTTTCATTACTTTCTCACTTCACGCTAACGTGTCTGTGCCTGCAAAGCTGCAGAGACACTCAGTACGGAGAGAGCGAGAGTCCATGAAGTTGCCCACAACCTGTGGCTCCCAAGGACACAGCTGAGAAGCTTCCCAACTGTCCTTGGATTCGGCTATGCAGTGAGACAGCTTTTCTAAAGAGTACCCTATTGGAGGAGAGGTCTAAAATCTCTTTAAACTCTGGAGACCACCCAAGCTCAGGTCAGACTCTGGAGAAAGAGTCTGAGCATACAATAAAGACTGGCAAATCAACCCAGCAGGAAAGCTGCATGTTTGAACACTTAGCTTTTGTCCTGTTTCATTTCTTTTCACTCTTCTCCTTCTTCCTCCTATCTTCCCTTACTCCATTTCTCTCTCATTCTTACCCTCAGTCTCTCCCCAATTCCCTTCACAGCAGACCCCATATACCATGTAGAGAAGTCCTCTGGGAGTCCCATGGGTCTCTGGGACCATGTCATTGGAGTAATTATTTGTTATAAAGGACCTGAGGGACTCCATCCTCAAACCCCAGTGTCTTAGATGCAGGATCACAGTTAGCATTGGAGGACTGTTTCACTGATAAGAGTACCTTCTATGGCAAACTGGCAAGACAGTATCCCAGCCCAAACAGGACAGTATAGTACTACTGGGAGTGACATTTTTAAAGGAAAGCTTCATGAACTGCTATGGCAGAGGCCTAGCCTCATAGAAGTCCCCAAAGATCTACCTCTACATTTCTAAGATAAAAGCTAAATTCCCTGCTCCTCCTGTCAGCAGGATTCTAGAACAGCATAAGGGCATCTTATCCAATTCCCTTCTTTGACTCAGCTGATCTGGGTCTCTCAAGAAAGGCAGAGAAAGGAGAAATAAGAGACCAGATCATCCTCCATTGTCCCTGGCAAGTTAGAGCATCGACTCTGACCTTATCTTAAGCCCAGTTTCAACAAGATAAATTAACAGTGAGTCGGGGGAGGGGTGGGAACAGGATCTGCATTTTAAATGACTCGCATGGACCTGGCCAGAAGGATTAGATTTAAAATGCAATGTGAAAAAAAATAACCAGCATGTTTCACATTTGTAATTGTAATTATTAAAATTTTACACATATGCCTATAATTAGAACTGTGAAACTAGAGAGAAGTTTGCCTCCCAGTAATGTCACGTAGGTCTGCCTCCATTAGATTTGGTAAACACATAAGCTAATTATCACCCAGTGTTTCTGAGAGCTGCAAAATGAATCTCCAAAGAACGCCCAAGTGCATGCTGCCTTGGAACATGCACAAAACTGCTCTACACTGTGGCTCTCCCATTTAAAGAATATACTAAACTTACCAAACATCAGACTGCTTTTTTTTTTTTTTTTAAGAGGGAAAAACTTCCTGATTAACTCACACCTTACTCCTGGTAATTCTAGTGAATTTGAAATATGGCTTAAGCAGATTTATTTAAACCAAACTCTTTCAAAGAAAGAGAAACTATTAAGAGGAAATGGTAATAGCTATAATCATCTTTGAAAAACAACTAGGTAATTCCTTTGAAGAAAAACAGGTTCAAAGGGCCTTCAATTTACAAAAAGACTGGGAATGCAGAACTTTGATCCATATTATCCAACCCAATGCAAGAAAACACACAAGCCACTTAGTTAGTCTCCTTCCCTAGAAATCGAAGAAATACAGATTTTGCTACACAAAATGCAATTCCCAGTTGCCCCCTAGGGTAACCTAACATCCCTTTCATTTATAGGTGGAAGGTAGGGCTCCTTAGCTTTAGTTGGTCAAAAATGGAAGTTAATAAAACAGTTCTGAACAGTGGGAAATTCCACCATCAGAGCCTCCATTCTGACAATTTTGAGAATCCTGGCTCCTAGCACCTATTCATTGGCCAATATACTAGGCCTATTTTCTCCTGTTAAATCAAGTTTGGCCTAGAACTGCCTCTGTACATATTTTAAGTCTGGCCTAAATACTCCACCATACATGGTGGCTGTAACCTAACCTGATGTGTAAACAGAGTGTAACCTACCATTATAACAAAGACCTGAATCTCAGCCAATCACAAGCAGTCGACTGTTCAAACCTTGTTCATATAAGACAGTTTTTAGTTGGAACCAATTGGGCTCACTATAACTCAATTCTGTATGTCATATCCTTTTCTCTAGGTATACATACAGTCTACCCATATGATGCACAAGATATCTGAGCCATTGTTCAGGACTACTGTCTACTTCTAGGATCTCAAAGCCAAAGAAAGCTCACAAAATTATATTTGTTGCAATTTCATCTTTTACAGTGAAATACCTATTTAAGTGCCAATGCAGAGGTTGCCGGCTGAGAAGTGATGACTTTGAGGGACTTGAAAAACCAAGTTCCTTATTTTCCTAAGGAACTATCAAACTCACTACCAGATGAGCTATAGGCTCCACTTTAGGTATATAATTTCTTCATATTACTTATACAACAACACCTATAAAGCATTTATCATTTAATTGATCTGTGAGCTACTTATAAATGCACCTGCTATTTATATTGACTAGTTCTTCCAGAATCTTCTGAGAAAACTTCTAAGCATTAAAAAAGTCTGTGCTGGGTCAAGGATATAGCTCAGGGACACAAAGCATGACTCACAAACACAAGGTCATGAGTTCAATTGCCAGGAAAGAAGGAAGGAAGGAAGGAAGGAAGGAAGGAAGGAAGGAAGGAAGGAAGGAAGGAAGGACAAAGAAGGAAAGAAAGAAAAAAAGAAAAAAAAAGAAAGTTTGTCCTTTTCAACATTTGTTACTTCACAGGACCAGTTTAATAATGGTCACATAGGACTAGGACTTAAGGAGAAAGAAGAGGGAGCAAACACCGAGGCAGACAAAGGAGGCACAAGTGACGGTTATAAACAGTAGGGGCAGTGCTTGCTACAGTCCAGAAACTTCCCTGGGTGCACTACTCTCTGCTTGACCTACTAGCTTTGCCTACATGACACCAGTGGAAGTGAATTACTCTAACTTTTACTATAATGTAAATCTGACCTTTATCAAGCCTGTTTTCATACAGTCTGTACGGTTAGGACAACTCTACCACAGTCACCTGCACATTTTCCAAAGACAAAGTACAGTGTTCTCTGCCAAGAAATCTTGAAGAAAAAAAAATCTCCTTTCCTCTCTCCCCATCAAGAGACTCCTTAGTTTCAGGCCCCAGATCAGGCAGTGCAGCAGCACCTTGGTCCACAGGTTTCTGTACCTGGTCCTGTAGGCAACTACAATGCAATAATAAAACACTGGCACCAAAAGAAGGCCCTTTGAGTGCTCTAAGAACCTGCTATGAATAGAGTCTTTAAAATGCTTTGAGGGGAAAAAGCAGTGTGCTCTTAAATGCTAACCTTCTAAGGATGGGCATATCCATCACCACATAGCGGTGCTGCTCGGTCCTCTAGCGCAACGCCTGAAGGCCCTGCACCTTCTTGCTTGTGCCTGGCCTTCACGGGACACCAGCTAGGATTCCAAGGTACCCAGTAAGTCATCTGAGGTATGTTTTGGAGTCTTGACATGATTTGCAACAGTTGCTTAGCAAAAGTGCCTTCTTGAGTACAAGAGTGAGATTCCCAAAGTCTTACTGGCCTTCCTCTTTTCTACTAAAATAAGGTCTTCCAAAGCCATTGAGGTAAAAGAAATTACTCATAGTTGATGTGAGAAAATAAAGAAAAGAGAAAAATAAAAGGTAGTGCTGTTTAATATCAGGGCATAAAAACAATGGCCAAGATCATCTGTATAGGTAAAACAAAACAAAACAGCTGAATTCTTTTAGAGAATGAGCGATGAAGTGAGTTCACTTACGAGTTCTGAATTATGAACCAGTGATGAATTACAGGACCCTGGAGTCTCCTTCCAAGTGGCACAGATCCTAACGACCCCTCTGTGGGGAGCCACCATGACACCATGGGAGGACGGTGAACACTGTATTGACCATATTGACTGTGTACCTTATTTTGGACACCCATAAATTGACTTCAAAGTGGAATAAAATATGTAGAAGCTACAGGCAGCATTTCTGAGCCAAATTGTTTTCCACTATTTGTTTTCCACAATTGTTTTTTTTTTTAAGCAGTAATCCTGTTAATCCAACTAAAAATCACCTCCAGTGAATTTTAATAATCCAAAGAAACATGTGACCAATAAATGCTTATTGATTGATTGCCCAATCAAGTTAGAGTAGTTTCATCTTCCTAATTATGTTTAATTATTTAAGTAAGCTATTAAATTACTGCTAAAATTAACTTTCATCTTCAAAACTATTATTGAATATTAGACACAAAAGAAGATAACCTACAAATCTGATTTGATACAGAACAGGGACAATTTTCAAGGTTGAGAACTGATGCACAACAATTAAAAGATAATCTTGTTTAAAAAAAAAGTCATACCAATCAGCTTGATATTATTGTCTTCATCTAGTAGCAAATTTTCTATCTTCAAGTCTCTGAAATAAACAAAACCACATAACATTTCAGATAGGCATTTGAAATAGCAGCATGACACGTTGCTTCTCAAAGGCAATGAATTATTTTAGAGGCAGTTTCCACCAACCCATACAGGTTTTTGCTAAAACTCAATCATTAAGTAAATATTTATAAGACATGATGTAATTGTCACCAACTATAAAAGGTAACAAAGGATTTCAAAGAAGGCAGAGAGCAAAGAGTGCAGAAGAAACCATGAAAAGTTTCCAGGAGTAGGACCCAAATGGAACCTGGCAGCTAAAGAACAGAGGTCAGAAGAAGGCAGAACACACCACTGACTTGACTTGACTCACTCACCTGTCTTTTTAAGTACTCTAAAAGGCACTCAGAATGTCTAGGATCTGGTATAAACAGAAGCAAAGGTGCTTCTGTATTCTTTGGCAGGCAAGAAATACAAATAATACCCAGGAAGCAGCATCAGCTAGGTAGAAGCAGATCTGGGGAAGCAACTCAAAACACTGGAAATTAATTTATCAGTTCCATGACCGCCATGTTGGAGCCCAAGTGGCCGATGGTGATGATATATTAATTTATTGAGCAAGCAGATATTATCATGGGCATAATAATAGATTCCAGAGAGGTCAGAGTCATAATCTTTGGTGTTATGTTCAAGTACATGTTAACCTGACATGGTCAAAGGAGATCGAGTTTACAGATAAAATAAAGTTTGTTAGTCCAATGACAGGTGGCGACAATGACTGACACTGATTGAGTTAACAGAAGGCAATGAAGGGAGCAACGCAGTCACACAGAGTGTGAGGGGGCCGTGGTATCTGTAAGTCAACTGTAAGCTTCTTGAGGGTTAGAAACATGTGTCTTGCCTACTGCTGCACTCTACATGCCAGAAGCTCAGTCAAGAAAAACCAGTCTAGATTATTAAAGATTTCATTCTGAATTTCAGAAGTGAAGTATATATCTGGGCAAAAGTATATATGTGGGCAAAGAATATATTTGGTCGTTAAAGTCACCAGGGCAATTACAAACTCCAGCATCCTAAATTATAGTCTGTCAACTCAGACACACCTTAAATAGCAATTATGTAAGAATGTTTTCTTCTGTTAAAAAAATACACATATATATGATATCATATATAAACACACACACACACACACACACACACACACA